TTTTACACTAGCCTCAAACTGCAACCATCAATTTCTTCCTCCTTAGTAACTAGGAGAATAGGCAGGAGCCACCTTGCACTTACCATTTCTTAATATTTCATTATGAACATTTAGGTAAGTTACAAAGAGGGTCATAATCTCAAGGATATTTCCTAGATAAATGTCAAAATACACAGAATTTTCTAAATTTAAGAGAAGGATGATAGTATTTAACTTACCAAGTAGAGTGGTCTGTTATTTCTTTTTATAGAAGGTTGATTTACACAGCGTCACCTAATTTAGTAATGTTACAAAAGTTTCTATCTCACAGTTCTATCTTATGCTTTGGAAATTTATAACATGATTCACGATTTTTCACAAAAAATATTAAATGAAGATTTATGCAAATGCTTTAATAACTTCCTCTTTGTTGTGACTTTCCTATCTGTAGTTATAGTTTCTAGAGTGACAGAAAAGTAGAATCTGGGGCAGGGAGAGGATGATGGAGGCTGATCTGACATCTCCAAGCTTGGTTTCCATAATGCTGTCAATGATGCAGTCTTTCTCTGCATTCTCATTCTATGAAGGTGCCTGCTAAGCCAAACATTGCTTTCCAATGTCCTGTCTCACACCATATCAAGCCCAGTGGAGTGATATAGCTCAATAGGGATATAGGAGAAACAGTACATGGATATTCCAGATGGCAAAACTCCCTGCTCACGTCCATGCTTAACCTTTTCTTAGACCCAGTCAAGTAGATCTTAACTCTTTTTTTGCTGTCTTCGACTTTATTTTTATTACAATGTCTAAAAAAAAAAAGAAAAGTTCCTTCTCTAAACTATACTAAAATGTATTACCTTTGATGACTAATTTATCCAGGAATTAAAATAGTACAGGGCACATATGCAAATAACAACAAGCAAACTGATTTCGTGTTGGTTTACGTTTGAGTGAGAGATACACAAACCAATACCTCAGCTGAGCCCCAGTCTTCTCATTGACATCTGAATTCTACAAATGGAGAACCTAAGACCTAGAAACCTCCATTACTTGTCCAAGACTTTTTAGCTAGTTTTTCAGTTCAGAAGGAAATAGGCACTAATTTAGTAGAGTCAAAACAAAACAAAACAAAAACAAAAATGAGTTGTGGCTTCTGTAGAAAATTCTAAATCTCTGGGCATGTAAAATGCATACATTAAGTAGAAAACTGTCACAGGACCTTATAAATTTTATTGGCTTTAAAACTTTGATTATCCCAGCAGTTTGCCCATAAAATTTTATAGAAAAAGTAAATATTTGCATTAAAAGTCATTATAAAAAAACTTCAGAATGCAATAAAATTAGATCTGCAAACTTACTACTGGCAAGAAATTTATATTACATTCATAGCTAGATCATCAGACCTAGATTTTTGCATAACTAAAACATTTAACCCAGTGTAATTTTAAGTCATGGGCCTCAATGGACAAGCTGGTCTCAAACTGGCGATCTACCTGCCTCAGTCTCTCAAGTGCCAGGATTACAGGAATACACTACCATACCTGGCCAGGAGTAATATTTTAGAGATTAAGATTCTCCATGTGGGTGAATCTATAAAATCTCATTTTAAATATCCACAGTTGTGTTTATATGACTATTTTAGAAAGAAACCTGATTTAAATTCACCCAAAAAATATGGGGGCAAATTTTATGTCACACTTCTAGCTTTGAACATAAACTTTAATTCTTTCCCAATCCATTTACATTCTGAGGAGCTGAACACTTAATGATAATCAGAAAACTTTACACTATGTGTAATTAACCATGTCAATAACTGCATCCATAAGACTGAGTGAAAGCTATACCTCAAGGGGTTCTTTTTAATTATTTCATTTTCTTTTTGAGATTGCTGGAATATTTTTAAATCAATTAAAAAATTTAATCAGTACTTTACTGCATTGACATAGATAAGGAATCAAGCATGTTTAATAATTGAGCAAATATCCTTTATGATCTGGAAAATGCACACATATTGGTAGTTCACCAAAACATGACAAATCTGGAGAACATATAGAAATAAGGAGAATATATAGAAACAAGTAAAAGAGTGCAGTTAGATACATTTAAACTCTCCAAATACAAAACATGTATATGTGTATCAAAGAAGCATACACAAATACAAATTGGGAGTAGCAGTATTAATATTTTTATGGAGCTTAATTCTGTTTAGCAATAAACATCCATTAAATCACTGTGAAGGAGCAGCCAAAAACAGAAAAAAAAACATATATTATCAGAAATACATGCAGCTAAAGGTAGGTAAATCTCCCTTATGCCAGTAAACACATGACTATACGGTACCCTTTGAAGCCAAGTCAATATATTCAGTCTGCCAAGGAAGAGCTTTTTGTCTTTTTTTTTTTTTAGCTTTTAACACTCTGAAAACCGATGCAAAGAAGCAGCACTTGAGTCTCCATCCTAGCAAAAGTGCTTAAAAGTTTAGAAAGGCTTCTATGGTCAGACTTAAAGGGATATACAATAGTGATATAGAAAACATACTAATGGCAATCAAGAAGGATTATTATATTTAGGGATCAAAGCCCAAGGTATGAACACTACAAAAATTTCTATCTCATGCAATTTTAGAAAGCACAAACCAACACCATTTTCAATATGTAGGTCTTTTAAATGCATGGTGAATAGAAGTAGTATCTCATATGTCTTCTATGCTTTTAGTGTTCATGAAATGCCTATCAGGTTAGAAACTCCAAATTGAATACACTGATGTACATTCTATGCCTGCATGAGATGCAATGATGAAACACATTAAAAAATTGTGAGAAGCTGGCTGCCAGTGGCTCACACCTGTAATTCTAGCTACTTAGGAGGCTGAGATCTAAGAACGTGGTTCAAAACCATGGGACTTTAACCTCTAATAAAACTACTACCAAAAAAAAAAAAACAGAAGCGAAGCTCTAGCTCAAGTGGTAGAGCAGCAGAAGCTCAGGGGCAGAGCTCAGGCTCTTAGTTCAATCCCCAGGACTGGCACACACATACAAACATATGCACATGTGCACACATGCACACACACACACATACACACAGAAAATTGGCAAGGTATTTACAGAGGGGTTACAGTTACATACATAAGGTAGTGAGTCCATTTCTTGTCAAACATTGTTACACCCCCTCATTTTTCTCTTACTTTCCCTCCCCCACATTGCACCCCCCAAATTGTAAAGTTCTTGATACAAAGCCAACAAGCAGCCTATGCAACCCAACTCTGCCTGGTTTATATCATAGAGCAAAGAGTTCAAGAGAATGGACATAGTCTTCTGTTTTTGTTTTTGTTTTTTTTTTGCTTTTGAGGTGTGGTCCAGTAAGCTTTGTATCAGTGGCATTTGATTACAATATGGTGTGAGCAGTGTGTACTCATGAGACCTTTAAAAACACAAGGGAGATGGGTAGGGCTGACACCTGTAATCCTAGCTTCTTAGGAGGCTGAGATCTGAGTTCTGAACTGTGGTTCAAACCCAGCCCAATCAAGAGAGTCTGAGATGCTTATCTCCAATAGACTACTCAGAAAAATCTGGAAGTGGCTCAAGTGGTAGAACACTAGTCTTGAGCAAAAAAAAAAGCTCAGGGACAGCACCCAGGCCCTAAGTTCAAGCCCCAAGACTAGGAAAAAAATAACACAAGGGAATAAATAAATAGAATTGATTAAGGAGGAAATACTTCTGACAGCGAATATAGACCTGGGTTCTAGCTCTGCCAGTTAAGCACTCTTGGGCAACGATAGGTACCACCTTGTGCTTTGCTTCTCTTGATTCTAATAATCCTAACAGCATCAACATTTCCATTTCCATGATTACAAGTTGTTGTATGTATTTCCCACTTTCTTGATGACTTAAAATAAACAGCAGCCAAAAAAAAACCCTAGCAATGTCAAAGTTAAAGAAAATTGAAAGGCTAGTTCAAACATTACCTTTGTATTATTTGTTTTGGGGACTTAATGTTATGTTGCCCAGGCTAGTGATGGGTTCCTGTGATCCTCCCACCTTAGCCTCCCACATATCCGAAATTATAGGTGCCCCACTACTCCTGGTTTTCTAGTCCTTACATTTAATAAAAATTCATTTACTTTAAAAATGAAATGTTGTTACATTCAGGTGAACGATGCACCTTAAATATTTTCATAAGTTAAGCTGTTACTTATCACACACGCACAGTTTAAAATATCTGTCATTCCTTAAGTGACAAAGTATTAAAAAGGCAACTTATAAGTGGCTAAATAAACATCCTGCGGGATATGTTCAGGAATTATAAAGCAGTCACAAGCTTGATGGAAGCTATCTGGGCATAAAAGGCAAATCTCACTTCCCTGAGATGTTCTCCAAATAGCTTGTTTTCAATAGCATTCCTTTGCACAAAGAATTGACAATTCTATTTATCTTGGAACTTAACTCCTGCTAGTAAAGAAAGTACTCATAAATATATGTTTCCAGTTAAGTATCATGTCCTCAGACTGTCCCATAATCTAAATGCCAGGTATTAATTCCAATTGTTTAAATTGCATGTTAAAGGAGAAAAATATTTCTCTACAAATGCTTTGATCATAACCAAAAAGAAAGCAATTTAAGATCACATTACTGAGCATAAATTATAGCCCTACTAGGTCGACAGAGTCCTACAAGTAAATTTGAAATTTAAATTCATATTTGGATAATAATTACAAGAACATAACTAATCTGACAGTCAACTTTAATTGGCCATTCAGTTATTTTTGTTCACTAAATCTGGCAATGTAATATAGGTAATCCAGTATGAAATATTTATTACCATTTTGCCTCTTTTGTTCCTTCCCACATTTGTTTTTTTTCTTCTTACAGTACATAAGCTGAAGAGTAACTTTCCAATTATAATTTTCCTAATCATTAATAACCATTTGATTGCAATGAAATCAGCTTTCTACTATTGTTTCCATTATTGTTTATACTATTAAAGCCTACAAAATATTCTGAACACAGCAACATTTTACTTACCTGTGAGTAATCTATGATTAGGCCAAATAATAAAATATTTCTTTTTTTCATTTCCTTTGCAGATTCCCTAATCCACATGAGGCTCTCCATTTTCTGACTGAGAGGCACTAATTTAAAATCAAAGAAATGCACCTGCAAAATAGAAACAATAGCAAAACCTAAATACCTTCAACCTTATTCTTGTGAAATTCTAAAACTCAAAACACCACTTAAAAGTTTTAAATCAATTTCACTAATTTAAATCAATTTTATGCCTATTTGTAAATTGAAATCAAATCTCTAAGTTAAATTTATGCTAATTTCTGGATGTTTAAAAGATTAATAAATCCTCCCTAATGTAACAAGTACAAAATGTTAAGATTCTATTTCTGCTTATATTCACAGATACATAAATCTGATTTTATTTATTCATAATTGATAAATAACTATTTCTAGTTGCCTTTTTTTTGGTCTTTTATAGCTTTTTTTTTATTGTGAAAATACCGTACAGAGGGTTCACAATTACATGAGCAAGGTGAGTACATTTCTTATCAAGCATTGTTGCCTCCTCCTTTGTTTCCCCTTCCCATCCCTTCCATCCCCCTCACTCCCCGCACCATCCGCGCCAAAGTTGTAAAGTTCGGTTTTCGACATAACATCTTGTACATCTCATTGTTGCAATGGGTCCACCTGTACCCCTACTTAACAATTTGTTTTTTCCCTTCCCCTCCACAAATTATACCTACATCAAATACAGTGAAAACAGGGGAGCAGGGGGGGGACATACAAAGCAACAAAGAAACCATCTTATAAATATGTTAGAAACAATTCGCTTTTTGTTTTTTTCCAAAGCTGAGGACTGAACCCAGAGCTTTGCACTTGCAGGCAAGCGATCTTCCACTGGGCTAAATCCCCAACAACCATAATTGACTCTTTCTTAGCATAAATGTTAAGAAATTAAATTTTAAGTAGCATTCAAAGGGAATAAGCATTTTAGTGAAGCATTTTAGAAGAATAATTGGCATATTTACAAATAACTATTTCTTAAAGTCATAAGATAGATTTACCTATTTATTTATTTATTGCCAGTCCTGGGTCTTGAACTCAGGGCTGGGCACTGTCCCTGAAATTCTTGCTCAAGGCTAGCAATCCACCCCTTGAGCTACAGCTTCACTTCCAGCTTTTTTTTTTTTTTTTGGTAATTTATTATAGATAAGAGTCTTACAGATGTTCTTCTCTGGGCTGTCTTTGAACCACAATCCTCAAATCTCAGCCTCCTTAGTAGCTAAGATTATAGAGGCACCATTGCCCAGTTCCATAGACTTTCTCATAGAATATTTCAGCACTGTTACATATTGTTCTTGAAATTATTCAAAAAATGTGTTAAAAAAACATTTTCTTTAAATTTTAAGAATCTCAGAGTGGCTGGGTGCCAGTGGCTCACACCTTAATCCTAACTACTCAGGAGACTAAGATCTACCCAGGCAGAAAGGTCTGAAAGATTCTTCTTACCTCCAATAATTTACAAAAACAAAGCCAGAAGTAGAGCTGTGGGTTAAGTGGTAGAGCACTAGCCTTGAGCAAAAGAAGTTCAGGGACAGTACCCAGGCTCAGAGTTCAAGACCCAGGAAAGGTGAAAAACTAATAATCTCAGGGTGATCATCCCTCATTTCTTCCAAATTATTTTTACCAGATAGATGTATTCATCTCTTACAAAGCATAACCCAATACCCTAAAAACAAAACCCACCTGGCAGGATGGTTCAAACTTATATTCCTAGTTACTTAGGAGAAAGAGATCTGGTGACAACAGCTGAAGGCCAGCTCTGGTAAAAACTTGAGAAGGCTCGACCCAATGGCTAGGCACAGTGATATTCAAACTTTATCCAGTTAAAGCCAAAGCAAATACTGGGGTGACATAGAGCATACAGCGATTTGATGCAAAACAGCAAAAGCAGGAAGATCACAACCCAGGCTTGCCAGAGGATAAAACAAGACCCTACCTGGTAAATAACAATTGTAAAAAGGGACTAGAGGCATGTTCAAGTGGTAGAGTGCTTGCCTAGCAAGCACTTATGAGGCTCCAAGTTTAAAACTCAGTACCAAAAATTAATTAAGAAAATTCCACAACTTATAATGTAACTGCATAGAATGAACATTAGTGGATATAAACATTCTTTTGTGATAATAACGTTAAAAATCGCTTTAACAATCATCACTTGTGCAAGTCCACACACTTACTAACTAGAAATGCCTTAAAATGTACCCCAGCCTCACACTCCAGAACACTTTCCTTCTATTCTGCTCATCCAGAAGGAAGTAAACAGACTTCATTATGCTCCTTTTTTTTTTTAATTAACACATAAGAATAAGATCTATTTCTCAACACTGTACTTCACTTTTCCAGGGTAGAAAACTTATATAAAACTCTTTTTATTTTTCTTTCAGTGCTGGGGAATATGCCCAGGGATGTACTTTTGGCAGGCCAGGTACCTAACCACTGAGTTCTATCTAGCTTTCTAGCATCCCTTTCTGAAAAGAATAATATCGTGTTGTATGATACTTGTTAGCACAATAGAAATTCAGCAACAATTTCTTAGAAATGTTCATTAAATAGTTAGTTGAAGACATAGACAGTTATTTCCTTCTAAAATCTAAAATGACATACATACAATTATAATAACTGTATATAACATGTCTATTACATGGATATAGAACATGTTAAAAAATGTCAAAAAAAACTCTCAAATATCAAGCCACAAAGGAACTGAAATGAATAAAAGATAAGATGCTTTTACCCTGTGACCTTGGAGTCACCTTTTCCTACTGCTGCTTCCCTGAAAACTCACAAAGAATTTCGGCTGTTTTACAAGATATTGTGGGAAAAAATAACTCCTTTCTTATAACCCGCAAATAGAAGATCTGGGAGTAGAACTATAAATGCTAGACTTTTCATCAGTATAGTTTGGCTTATCAACAGACAGTTAGGATCTGGATCATAAGTGCCCATTAGCTATTGCAGAGATGTTGGTTCCTATTTGTTCCTTAAGCTTTCCACAAAGATGGCTCACAAAATGCCTTCTGTGATCTCTTTACCTCACCCTTGAGCTGCAGAGAGGCATGAGGAGAAGCAGTCTCTCCACTGATGTGAGAGGTGAGATGAGTTATACCCATTTTTGCACTGTGCTCTTTTACATGTTTGAGCAAACTAGTGCTACTTCCTATGGGTTTAAAAATATTAGACGAAGCAAATTTACTACTGGAAGGCCTGCAAACATCAAGCAAGATAGTCTACCCATCTTAAAACAATTTCAGAAATTGCAGTCCTGGTAAAAATTTCAAGTGAGGTAACTGAGGGTGCAAAATCTTCCAAATGGACTGCCAGAGTGGAAGAACACTGACGCTATATAATGTTAAACCTATCAAAATACTTTTCAACTTTTAACATTGCAGTTAGCTGTCCTACGTAGCTATCATGGAATTCCACACTAGCCACTACGTCCCTCATAGTTTTTATGAGTGCTACGATTAGAGTTTTTTTAATGTGCCTGGGCAACAAGTTATTGATAGCCTACTCTGATATGTGGATAAATATTTTTATTGTTGTTTAATACATGTTTTTTCCCCCAATCAATTTGAATTCTATAAAAGCCCGGGTTAAAAGAAGTGGAATTTTTCTTCTTTCTTTTTGAGGGGGAATAGTTGAGGCTTTGGGTTTTTGTTGTTTTTTTTTTGTCGGTCGTGGGGCTTGAACTCTGGGCGTGGGCGCTGTCCCTTCGCTCTTCAGCTCAAGGCAAGTACTCTACCATTTGAACCACAGTGCCACTTCCATGAGTGGGAATAGTTCTAAGAGCAGAATATGCAAGACTGTTTTAATTCCTTACTATAGCTCTAACAAATATTTAAAAGGCCTAAGAGAGGCAGAATGGAGAGGCTAGTATCTGTAACAGGAAGGATGAAGTCATACCGCAAGTGGGACTGGGGCTCTGCCTGGTATGACTGCCAAGATGACTGGCATAGTACGTGTGGTGCCTCTCTAAAAGGTAAGTGAAAGGAGGAAGTACATTTTTAGCTTTCCTACAAACGTAGGGCCTCTACTTCGAGTTCAGTAGCCAACTTGTAGGCATTTTCCCTTTTAAATATAAGGTTAGTTGTAACCCCCTGTTGTTCTGCCTATGCTAACCTGGGAAATCTGCCTCTGAGCTGATGGCATTTCTGTATCATATGAACCTCATTCCTACATTTACCAATTACTACATTTACCAAGCTCTTCCAGAGCTCCTACAAACTATGAAGATGCCTCAACAGGAACTGGAAGATTTTTCACACTCGTATACATCTATAAGATACAACAAACCCAATTCCTTGGAGTTGAAAAAATAAACCAGTAGCATTTAAAAGAGAAATCAAAGGACCAATGCTGTTCAATGCACATTCCCTGAATTAAAGGAAACATAGAAGTGAATTCTGGGAGAGCTATTTACACATGTCACTGCCTTATCCTTGTTACTCCATCAAACCAGGTACTTACATTACAGGGAAACTCTAAGACATGAAATAACAAGACAAAGAAGAAATGTTACAGGTCCTCATTTCACAATTTCCTATATGTTGAGCACTGTGCCAGTTGATGCAAACAATTCTTAAAGCAGGAAAGGTATAGACATTGGCCTTAGGAAACAGATAAGCAGATTAATAAAAATGAGGACTGGAATATAGCATCGCAAAGAACTGATGCCATGAAAATCCAAGGAAAAGAGTGTCCTTCCTCTTACCATGATCTTAAGCATATACTGTATAGAGTGCAACTCAATTTGAACTTAAAATATACAACAACCACTTATAAGTTCTAGGAGAAAAGCTAACTTGGTACAAATATATAATTGATTCTAATTTTTAAGCATTTTAATAACTGCAGCAGAGAGTTGCAATAATTCAGGAGAAAGGAAAGTATAATAAAATTACAATATAGGCAGGTTTTAATCTATGGAAATGCAGCAGAATATTTCATCTAGCTTGAGTTGTATAGGTGTCCAAGAATATATTAAGTAGACATACTTTAAATAGTATATTTCTCAGTAATTCACATGCAAATTACAGTAAAACAGTATCTGTTAACTAGCATAATATTTCTAATAACTTTCTCTGGTACCT